TTGATTATATATTTCCTCTCTCTTCGAATCTTGTTGTTTTTTTTTTTATTCTGTATCTCTCAATGATTCACATCTTTCGCCATGAGTAACAACAGCGGTAGAAAGAAGAAATAAGTAACAAAAAAAATTATTATTTTTGCTTGCACGTTTTTTTTCATTTCCAACAAACAACCAAATTAGCGTACTTCTACTTTCAGTTTGACATGAGTGAGCCAAAACGTTTTAAACGTGAATCTACACTATTTGAACATTTACCTAACGAACTTTTTGTTGAAATTTTTGGTTATTTGAATGGTGTAGATGCTGTCTATGCTTTTTCTCAACTTAATATTCGTTTTCAATGTTTATTAAATTATTATGTAAATAATTTTGATTTTAAATCTGTAAGTAAAGCTAAATTTAATTATATTACTCAACTACATGATATACATCGATGGCGATCCTTATGTCTTTCTAATGATGATAATACACCAGGACAAATAAAATATTTTTCTCAATTATTTCCACCTAATGAATATATTCATCAATTAGAATCATTAACTGTTTTACACATGAAACCTGAAAATGCTCAAGAATTTTTATTACAAATTCGATCCTTGAATAATCTTGTTTCATTATCAATTGGACTAATATGTGGATTGAATATTCAATCAATGGAATTACCTTCATTAAAACGACTCGTTCTTACATCATGTAAGCATACCTATTGGATAAAGGTAAGTAGAATCGATTTTTATGATTGAATTTAAATATTATAACTGTATGTGTGTGTATTTTTTTTCTCGTCACAGAATTTTCATTGTTTGAAAAGTCTTCAATATACAATTGAATATAATTGTAATCATAATCAAAATTTAATATTTCCAATAACATTGAAATATCTTAAAATATTTTATGAAGAAGGACGAGATGGAAATGCTCTTCGAACAATACTACAACAAATGTCACAATTGACTAGACTTGCTTTATATGATAATGCAAGATATAGTCCAATGCCAAATGGTAAAATTTGGGAAGAACTTATTCAATCATCATTACCATTATTAAATACTTTTCAATTTTTTTTTCCATTTGATCAATATCTTAATATTTCAAGTGATTTAAATCAAACAATAGAATCATTTTCTACACCATTTTATTTATTTGAAAAACATTGGTTTATTCGATGTGATCGAAGTTCAAAAAGTTTATTTATGGGTGCTCTTTATTCTTTACCTTTTGCTTTTTCACGTATGATAATTAATACATGTTCATTTGATATGAGTATTTCTACGTTACCTATTAGCGATTTTGATGAGATAAAAAGCAATTATTATACTAGAGTAAATACGATAGTATTCAATCAAGAATGTAAAGTTCCACATGTTGGTTTTCTTTCATCTAATATTGTTGATCTTATTCTTAAAGTTAATCTACCAACAAGTTGGATTTATCTATTAACAAAACTACGTCATTTACGTATTATAGCTGATATGCAAATGTCATCGGCTGATTTTATACGTTTACTTGAACGTGCACCTAATCTTCAATCATTAACTATATCTATTATTCAATTAAAAATATTAACAGATAAATTTACTAATCAAATTGTTTGTCATCAATTATCTCAACAAATTCAATCGTTAACTATATCTCATCATTATTCCGATATACCTAATCTAGGTATTGTTAGTGTACGTTTACTTTGTTCACTTGTTCGTATTTTCTCAAAAAAATGTCAACATTTATCATTAGCTTTAATGGCACATCCAAATACTGTTCGTCCAATTTTACGACGTATGAGACAATTACGTAGTTTACATATTCAATGGCGTCATGTGTATATTGGTGTAGATGATCCCGTAGCATATTGGCTACAACAACAATCAACAGATCCTACAGCTTTAGATTTTGTTCATACGAATGATAAAAACGATCTTTTTGTATGGTTTGGAAATCGATTTTAAACAAGATTTGTAAAAAAAAACAAAAAAAAAACATGCTTACTAATCAGGAGAAAAGAATCTTTTACATAATCTTGTATTGCAAAGGATATATTCTATTGTTTCATGGTATTAATCAAATAAATATTTGATACGTTTACAGGATACATACACACATATCCTAAATCATATGCTATATTTTGCATTTTAAGAGCAAGCCAATTAGTGTATGATTAAAACAATTAGTAAAAGGAAAGTGTGGATCCTGTAGAAGAATCAAATATATTATTTCCTACAGATGTCACTCATATTCATATGTTCATCATATGATTTTCTTGTATAAAATAGTAGAGGATTAATTTCATCGAAAATGACAATCAATGGCCAACAGCTGATCATCTCATAGTTTGACCTGAAAAAGAGATTAAGTCAAAATAATTATTATACAAAACAAAATGTCTTATTAAGTTAATTTCTTTTTTTTTTTCAGATGGCGAAAAATACTCATCGCATGCACAATATATCCAACACTCAACGACAACAACAACAACAACAGTTGCCTATTGAATGTCAATGGCTTCATCGATTAGTTAATCGACGATCATATAAAATTTCAGCACTTCTAATTATTTGTATTCTTAATATTGTTGATCTAGTTGTCGATTGGTATTTTTTTATGTCAAAAACAACAATTCAAAAAGTAAATTAAACATTTTTCTTTTTAATATTTTACAAAACAAAAAGAAATATTTTCATTATTCTAGGGTCTTGTATTTGGTCCACCACCACGTAATATCTTATTAGCAATATTTACATTTTGTATTATATCAACATTTACAAGTTTCCTTGAAATAATACAAATGATTCGTGATACATATCAAAATCGTTTCACATCATTATTTGGTCGTATAACAAATTGTTTAACATTATGGTTTGAAGATGTTCCATTATTAACTCTTAATCTTCTTATTGTTATTTGTCGTGATGGTGAAGTAACATATATTAGTTTAGCTAAAGCAATGATTGGTATTATAGCTGCATTAATACGTTTTTTATTTATACTTCTTAATAAATGGTTAATACGTCATGATTATCAACGTAAAGATAATTTATCACAATTTTTTAATACAATATCAACAATTGGTATTATACTTGTTTTTATATTATCAATATCAATACATACAATAGCAAGTTTACCAATAGATAATTTTGGACGTATATATTTACAAAGACCATCTGATTTTACACGATTTAAATTTGCACATCAAAAATATTTTAATGATGTTGGATTATTTCTTCGTTCATCAAATGATTATTATAAATATATTTATTTAACTAATATTGATAATATTATTGAAACAGGTCAAAAAACATTTATCTATAGTATAAATGAAAAAGATAAGATTTATTGTATTAAACAATATAATCAAACATGTTTTATTGAATTAAATTCAACACATACTTATCTATATGATAAACAATTAACAAATAAATTAATTAATTATTCAATAACATTTCAATTTAAAGAACCTGATTTTTATTATTTACTTGGAGATATTAATTATAATATAATACGTTGTGATTTAAAAAATTTTTATATTAATGATAATAAAATTTCATTACATTATTATCGTTTTAAAAGAAATTTTAATCAAATTAAATTACCTTTTATATTAAATGACGATAATAATACATATCGTTATTATGATAATCAAAATGATTTTGAACCAATTGAATATGTTTGGAAAACAGGTTTATTAAGATGTACATCAACAAGTAGTTTTAGTCCACATCGATCTCAAGATATTCCAATGAATGATTGTTTTTAAAAGAATGCTTTTTTCTTGTCAGATTATGTTTCCTGTCATTTTTTTTTTTGATATTTTTAGTCTTATGGGTTAATCTGTTAATATGTCAGATGTAGACATCTAGCTCATTTATATATTATTGTAGAATGATCTTTCTTTTGAATTATTTGCATGTTATAATGAAAAACATTCTTTTTTTTTGTTGGTTTTAGATATAAATGCATTAGAGTCATTTATCTTTTTTTGAAAGTAACAGTAGAATTATATAATGGAAGCTGATCCAGATGAACTATTAGTTTGGCTGAAAGGAGATGGAGGTGGTGAACGTGATCTACAAATATCGGCACTTGAGCAACTTTGTAAGTTATCTTTACAATAGAATATGTCATTGTGACTTTTTCTGCTGATTTAAAAAAATATGAAGTCATGTAAATATGATAACTCAAATAAGATTTTTAAGAGTACTTCCTAGAGCTCATCGGGTCCGACTGGGATCCGAACTCTCTCGGGGTCAGATCTGAGAAATTTCTATTGACTGGGCTCAAAAAAATTTTATTCGTCGGCTTCGGTTGCAGAAATTATTGAACTCGATGGGTTCTAATACTCTACCATCGTTTTTGGCAATTTTTGGCTTTCAAAGAGAATAGAACTGATCAGATTACAGATGGAGAACCTAAACTAAGAAGATAAGTGTTCGAGAACAAAAAATTTTCAAGAGAGTTTTTCATAGGATCGCATCCTGATTTAAGGACTATATAAATCCGAATAGGAAAGTCAGAAACGACAACGGTCGATTTTACCTCTGAAGGATACTTCCAAATATCGACGGTAAAAATTTCAACGCGATCAGACAACGTAAAATCGGAATCGTAAGTAGGCCTAATGGGTTTTAAAGATCTGCTTTTAAAATTTTTCCTCAAATATGAGTCCCATTATTTTCGACAATCGAACATGACCAATTGTGCTTTTGCGAAGAACCAGAAGTAATCCAAAAGAAAGGGAAATACCTTTAAGTGTATTCAATTGAGACCAAATTTATGAATTATCTAGATTCAATAAATTTAAAAAAAAGAAAATCTTCTTGTTTAGGTATGCTCGTACTAATGTGCGATAATATTGATCGATGTTTTGAACAGTAAGTATTTATTATTATTTTTAATAAAATATCTTTTACAATTTGTAAATATTTAGGTATCAACCTCGACTTTTCCTTCCAGGTAAATGAAATTTTTCTTCTTTTTTTAATAATTTATATTCTGTTTTTTTTTTTTCATAGCTCTCTGTGATATATTCAGTGATCCACTAGCTCCAACACGTGTACTTGAAGTAACAGCACGTGCATTAACATATTTTCTTGATGTATCTGTTGATTGTGCAAAAAAAATCACTCAACATTCATCAGCTATACGTTCAATGTGTGCATGGTTACAAGTTGTTGATATTGAAGATCGTACAAATAAAGATTTAGCTGAACAAATAATAAAAGTTTTTGAACGTTTATGTTCAAGAGAAGCAACAAGTATATATGAACAAGATGGTCTTCGTTGTGTACTTGATTTTATAAATAATTGGTATTCAGTTATACATAAAGATTCATTACAATCAGCATTAAATGTTGTTGTAAAATTAATTGGTAAAATTGATCCACAAAATTCACCAACACTTGATCAAACAATTGAATCATTATCAAAATTACTTTTACATGTTGATACATTTGTATCTGATAATGCTTTAAGATGTTTTGCAACATTAGCTGATAGGTAGGAGTTATTGGTTTTTTTCTTTTTTTATTTTTATTTAATATTTATTAAATTTTTTTTTTCAAAAATAGATTCGCAAGAAAAACTGTTGATCCTGAACCATTAATGCGTTATTGTTTAAAAGATGTTCTTCTTCGATCATTGCATTATGTATCAAAATCAACTGGTAATGCGTTAACACCAGTTTCATCATCAACAAATACAACAATCGATAATACAAGAACACATAATGTACCATTATCAACATCAAATACACGTGGTGTTACAACAAATTTATCCGTTGTAACTGGTTTATTATCAACACTTTGTCGTGGTAGTGCAAAAGTAACACATGATCTTCTTCGTTCTGATCTTCCTGATGCACTTGAATCAGCTTTATGTGGTGGTGATGAAAGATGTGTACTTGATACAATGCGATTTCTTGATCTACTTATTGTCTTACTTTTCGAGGGTAAGTTTTTCTTTTTTTTATTATTATTTAAAATTAAAAGAGTAATCTACTTATTTTAGAAGCCTAATCTTGTGCTTCTAAATAAGATTTGCTTAGACTAATCTTTTTGTTTTATTAAGATTAAAGTATGATAAAAGTAGATTAAATAGAAATGAACATCCTATGATAAAAAATTCAGAATAGTTTCACTCGAGTTCAATCAAATAGACTCATTATTTTCTTGCTGACAAGAATCTATTTAAAGTTTGTTTTATCATTTCGTAAGAATAACATAAACAAATAATACCTTGAAAATGTCATCATTGACTTCATTCATGATACATAACATGTTGTCACATAAGAAAAAAAATATATATGTGAAGAGCATCTCATCAATCATATTCAGAACCTATGTAAGATAATGCCAAGAGAAAATCAAAACAAAATTTATGAATGATATTATATTAATATACATGCAGTTAATTTTTAGAATTATTAGTTAGTTGAAACATTCGAATTGTTATCCAATAATTAAGATGCATAATTGAGTACTTCAGGCATCGGCTCATAGAATTCCTTATAACAACCAATATTTCATGTTTGAAGATGAGAAATATTGTAACTATTAATTTTTATACTAATTACACTCTTTAAAAAGAATCCATATCGCAGGAAACGTTGTTGACAATACAGAGTTCTTATAGAATCTAGTTCGAAAAGATTTCTCCATGTGCATCAATGTGATATTATTCATAAAGTTTGATTTTTTGATCTTGTTCTTATCTTATGTGAAAATTGAATATTATCTATCAATCATTTCACATGTATTTTTTTCTTACTTGATAACATGTTATATTTCTGTCATGAAATCAATTTATGATATTTCAAAGCATTGAGACTTCTATCATCAAAAAAATAAATCAACTCACACGATTGAGCCGAAATAAAGCTCATCAAAGACTATTCATTTAACTAAATAATAACCAAACATTTCTATCGGAGTAATATTCAGTAAAAAAAACAAAACAAAAGAAGTCCAGCCTTGGTATTATGAATAATATTCTCTAGGCAATAAATATTCATTTGAAATTTCATAATATGAGCATGTTGTACGGAACAAAGCAGTGTTAGAAGGGAAAAAAATATTCCTGTGATAAATATAATTTAAAAAAAAAAAGCAAAATTATTTTAGGACGTCAAGCCCTTCCACGTCCAATAGGTACATTACGCGCATCGATTACACCAAGTACAACAACAAATACAACGAATGCTTCTATTCCAATAACAAATACAACAACTGATACAACTCGACGTTCACCATCATCATTAACAGCAACAGCAACATCAACATCAACATCAACATCAACATCAACAAACAATGGTATAATACCATCTGATCGTTCACAACAACAAATTATTGAATATATACGTTCACGTGATGTTCAAGGATTTATAAATCATATTGAACAAGGTAATATTGATGTTAATTATACAGATAATGTTGGTCAAACAATGTTAAATTGGGTTGCTGCATTTGGTACACGTGAAATGATTGAATATTTATGTCGACGTGGTGCTGATGTTAATCGTGGTCAACGTTCATCATCATTACATTATGCAGCTTGTTTTGGACGACCATCAATTGTACGTCTTTTATTAAAATATGGTGGTAATGTTGATTTACGTGATGAAGATGGTCGAACAGCTTTAGATAAAGCACGTGAACGTCAAGATGAAGGTCATCAAGAAGTTGTTGAAATTCTTCAATCAGCACATGAATGGACTGATATAAGACGACAAGATTCAACAATACAACCAAATATAAATTCATCAATAAAAACTCTTGAACAAACTACAACAACAAATGAAATCAAAGGTGATATTGAAATGCAACCAATTTATTTACAACGTTTATTATCAATATTTTGTCAATTATATCAAAATACAATGATATTAACAATAAAACGTAATACATTACGTTTAATATCAAAATTATTACATTATGCAACAATTGAACAAATAAATGAATATTTAATGAATAATGAAATAAATATTTTAACTACGTTATTTGAATTATTAAGTTCAATATTAGATACAAATGAAGATGATGATGATACATCAAATCTTGTTTTATTAATTATTAAAAATTTATTTGAAAAAGATCGACATCTATTTCTTGAACAATTTCAATATTTAGGTTTAATATGGAAAATAACATCATTAGCATTATCACATCCAATAACATCGACATCAACTGTAACAAATATAAATTCTGAACAACAACAACATCAACAACAACAACAACAACAATCTTCATTATCAATTAATATTCTTGCTATTGATGCTAAAGAAATTCTTTCTCATCGACCATATGTTTGGAATGAATTTAATTTATTACGAAATCGAGAATGTTTATATATATGGAATAATTCAATTGCTATTGAATTATCAATGGGTTCAAATGGATGGTTTAGATTTTTTGCTGATAATTCTTTATCAACAATGTATTCATCAGGTGAAAAATTTTTTTTTGTTTTATCAAAATTTTTACTTTTTGTTTTGTTTTTTTGTTGTTTTAGGAAGTCCAGAAACAAATGTAGATACAAGTGAAAATCGTCATGATTTTATTGATAAACTTCAACGATTAAAACAACAAGTACTTGATTGTATAGGACATGAAAAAAATGATGAAAATATAAAAACAATCGATGGAGAACAACAACAAATAATGATAGCACGAACTATTTTTACATCAGATACAAGTAATGAACGAACAATAACTGTTGGTAATTGGACATTCGAATGTAATGGACCAACACAACTTCGAATTCATAATGTTGAAGGAGAACAGGTTTGTTTTAGATTTATCAAAAATAAATTCATTCGTTCTTATTAACTAAAAATTTTCACGGACACATATTAAATAGATTCATAGGAATTATTAATGATAATTATCGAATCTATACCGAAATCGATTGAAGTAGCTTGCATCTATTTTTGTTTTTCATTATTATTCAAATTGAAAGAAATTTTTTTTTAAGTTCGCCTGTTGAAACTGGATTGAGAGAAAAACGATAATTTACAACGCGCTATGCAAGATTTTAAATACGAGTTAAATCAAAAATATTGAGTCAACTAAAAGATCTCTGCAAAATATTTATTATAAATACATTCAACTTTTTTTGTATTAAAGCTGACTGCACAGGGCTAGATATAGGAAAGATAGTTCCAATACCAAAACAAATACTTTTTTAATGAAATTAGAGTCCGTCAGGTTGGTCCTGGACCTTGTCGGGTTCGGATCTGAAATTTTCCTGTTAACTGGGTCCGAGTCCAAAAGCTTTATATCCGATGGATTCTATCCTACCCATTTCTCAGATGATTTGTCTGAGAAATGTGTCGAGTGTACTAGTCACCGAATGTAAAAAATCAGAAAAAAGTATCTCGCACCGTTGGGGCGGCTATCCTATTCCAATTAGAAAATTTCATTGAAAGTATCAAAGTACAATTCGATCGGATCCGTAAATCTTGAACCCGATGGGCTCTAATTGGAAATGATATATTTTACGATCGTGTAGAGCTTACGTCAAATGTTATATTCTCATGACTCATATGTTGTACGAGTTTATGCAAAAATTATTGAGTAACGATCACTTCAATATTTGCTGTCACTATTTTCATAGTAAAATTATTCTTTTTTTTCGTAAACAAAAGAGTTATAGAATACATAAACGTGCCGAATAGATGAAGTATTAGTGTATATATTCTTAAACTAGAGCATCTACATTATCGATTCGTAAAAAAAAATATATTGTTTTATCTTGCTTTCTACACTAAAGGGTTATTCAAAAAAGTGCTTTCAATAGAGTGACCTTCTATATGTTTCTCTAACTGTAATTTGAATTGAGCATTCAAAGATAATTCTTCTCCATATGATGCGTCTACTATATATACATAAATGTCTCTAGACAGAAACATAAATTTTTCAAAAAAAAATTTGTTTTTTTTGCGAAATTTTCTCACCTCAGAAACACTTTCAGATAAAACGAATGATAGATTCAGAATCAACACAAGAAACTACATTGAATAATGTATAGGATATTATTGTTTCAAAATTTTGACAAAAAAATAAATCATGTTCATGTATCCTGTGTAAATTATCTCGTGTACATTTTATTCAAGTTGAAATTCAATATATGGGACTATTTTAGTCAAAATGGGATATACCCACAATTCATTTGACTTTGATTCTTTACAAGAGTTATTTTTCTGAATAAGTCCTTTTAGTATAGACATACATAAAAATGTTGGCTCTTTCAGCCGGCTATTAAAAAAACTAATTAGCGAATAGCTCTCCAACCGTGCAAGAAAAAAATTCGAAAACTTCAAGATAGACTCTATGGCATGAACCACATCCATGATAATATTTTCAGTAAGAATCTTAAAAATCTGGTTTTCTAAGTTTTGAAACAAAATTTTTTGTTTTATCATCATCTAGAGATTCTGAAGAAAGATTTTTACTATTTAGAATTCGTTTTGAATTTCTCATTCGATTACCATTTTTTCGTACTCCATCACATTGCTAATGAATGATTTTATCTATTTAATATCATTTCAAATTTTTATAGATAACAATTATTGAACAAGGTCAACCAGGTTTTATATTTGAATCGAATCGTGGTACTCGTCATACATATCATGCACAAACAGCCTTAGGCAATGAATTTTCAATACCATGGTCAACAATTGAATCATTAAATTCTTCATCATCATCATCATCAAATTCAATTGATCCATCATCAAATATTTCAATAACAAAAACTTCATCAGTTCCAATAGGTAAAACAAAACAAGAACAAATGAAACATCGTACAACTGAATTAGCATTATATATCTATAATGAATATTTAAAAAATGTTACACCAACCAATTATACACGTTCAATATTAAATGAACTTAAATCAATCGTTAATGATTTAAATAATAATTTAAATTCAAATTCATTTGAAAGATTAAAAAAATTTTTACTTGAAAAAACAAGTTTATCATTATATGAATTATCATCATCAGGTCTTGTTAGTAGTTTATTAAAAATTTTTCATGGTTTACTTGATCAATCATCTGATGAAATAAATCTTGCAAATGAACGATCAAAATTATTTTGTTCAATATTTCTTTCTGATGAACAACCACAAGCATTTCAAATTCTTATACGTAAACTTATATCAATATTAGAATCAATTGAAAAATTACCATTATTTTTATATGATACACCATCAAATTATGGTTTACAAATATTTTCAAAACGTTTTCGTTTTCAACTTCATTATCAAAATCAACAACAATTATTTACTGATAGAACTGGTAAATCATTAAAAATTGAACCATTAGCTACAGTTGGACAATTAAAAACATTTCTTGCATCAATGGTAAATAATTTTCTTTTTTGTATTTTTGAAAAATAATAAAATAAAATTTTTTTTCAAATAGGTTTCAAAACAATGGTATGATCATTCACATGGACATTTAGAATTTGTTAAACGTTTAAAATATGATGGTCGACAACAATTTACATATGTAAATGATTTTGATCAAAATGGAATTTTCTATTGGATTGGTACAAATGCTAGAACAGCATCTGATTATACAAATCCTAATTCAACTGGACTTATTTCAGGTATAAACAACATCAAAAGAATTTGTTTTGTAGAACTCACATTATGTTTTTCGAGGATACGTTTCTCAGCAACGAAAAAAAGGTGCTGAGCGGCACGCTGACAGATCTCAGATTTTTATGATGGGAGCAATCGTAATCATAAAATGTGCTTTGAAGCTCGTTTTTAGGCCTTTTCTACTAGGAAAAACTGAGAAAAGCCTTTTTGAAGGAGACAGCTGAAGAGGTTCCCTTGTCAGGCTATGCGAGAACATTTCAAAGTCACCTTTGAAATTTCAATGACTGGAATACGTTGTTGGTGAGTGAGTGTTAGAAATAGTGTAGCTGTTGATTTTTGGAAATCCAAGATATCGAGGATGATCGGTAGCAATGTATTGATTTGCCGCAGTCATCACATGATCAACATAAAAAGCGTGAATTGATCAAGTTATACCTTTGGAATACAATCAAGATCGGTATTTCTGAGCTTATTGAGATAAATCGTAGATCTGCTGTAGATATAATAGATATGTATAATAGGCTTATTTGCCAGTTAAATCAATCATTACACTAATAATAAGATTAAGTTGAGAAAGACGGAATACAAAAATAAAAAACAACGAGGTAATAGTAACAACAACGAAAAAAATCCTATTCGAAATATAGAACAGATCGTTTTCCTGGTGATCGGTTATCTTTGGAAAACAAACAATAATCTGCTAGAAATTTTTCACTTTAGATATTTTGTATTGATATAATAAGATAAAAAAAACACATGTGAATTCTACATTTTAGCCTCAAACAGTCCGTGCTGAAAAACTTTTTAAACAATATTTTTCTTTGTTGTTTTTTTAGTTACTTGTTCAGATAATAATTGTTCATCTCAACAATTATCAGAAATGATTTCACATACATCACGTACAGATGATGATGAGAATACTAATGATATACATCATGGTTTTAGTTGGATTATGATTGATTTAGGTTTATTTATTATTCCAACACATTTTACATTACGACATAGTACTGGTGGTTTTCCACATTGGACAAGAAGTTTTCTATTTCAAATATCAAAAGATGGAACACATTTTATACCATGTGAAATATCATTAGTTAATGATACAAATTCATCAATAGCAACATGGACTATTAAAAATAATCTAAACGAGAATTCAACTGGCTTTAGATATATACGTATTCATCAAAAATGTGGTCGACATCCTGTTTCTATTTCTGGTTTGGAACTTTATGGACAAGTCATTTCAGCAGTTGATATTCGTTCAAGTAAGGTTTTTTGTTTTGCAGACTAAATTAGTATGAATAACAACTATATTTAAAGAACTTGTATTATTTAAATAACAAATGATTGACTGTAGTAATGGTACATCACTTTTTTGTATTAGATGAAATCTTTACATTTTTCATTGATAGCGGTGACGCGAAGAACTCGGAACAGGAAGATTGGAAATATTTTTAAAAATTGGAGAAAGATGTTGTCTGATACATTATCGTTTGGAAACAGCCGACATTGAATGGACGTACTGTAAAGTTTTTCTACAATGAGAAATGAGCAAAATTTTCGATTATTTCAATTTCTATTTCATACATCAAATACTTCCATTGCTTAATTTTGCATATTATTGAATAAAGATTAAGAATATTTTTTTGAGACAACTTTCTCTATTTTATGTTTGTCACTAAAATTCACATGATAAGAACACATTACAGTAAAACTTTTCTAATGTGAGCACTATTAAGGCCGACCAAAAGTGTTTACTTTACGGAGGTACTTATTATTGGGAAGTTTTCTATTTCTTTTATACAACTTATAACTATTCAGTTTCAATCGTTTGTCGTGTTGACACGATTTGATGTTACTATGTAACTATTAACACAACAACGGCGAGACGTTGCACTAAACACTAATGCTGTTGTATAGCATTAGATTTTTTTTTTCTTTTTTAAATATCTATGCTCGATTCATTCCCTTTTCCTATGTGTCCCATGATCTATCAAGACTTCAACTTACATAAATTAAATATTTTTTCTATTTGTTTTTTTTTCCCCACAGAACCAGAATTAGGTCGTTCTCGTTCCAATCGTGATGATAATCGAAATCGTTCAACGAATTCTCGTCAAACTCCATCTTATCATCATTCACATTCAATATCATCTGCCAATACTCGCGCAAGTAAAATGCAATCACATATTTTACGACGTTTAGCAAGTATGCGTACAACCGGTATAACAACAATATCATCATCATCTACAGGAAATTCGAATGGATCAAATAATAATACAAATAATAATAGATCAACTTCGTCAACAATTGATCGAATTTTATTTGATCAAATGGTTGATCTTTCATCAATTCCTATTGATTTATCAACAGGTAAATAAATTCACAAAAGAATTTTTTTTTTTTGAGTCTTGAATTTTTTTTCAAGCTCTTGAATCCGATGATCCAGAACGATTACGAATGGTTATTCAAGAAACTCTTTCACGTTTAACTGGTGATACAATATTAAATGAAAATACTGTATGAAAAAAATTATTTATTTAAATTTTATTGTTTCTGAAAAAGAATATTTTCTTTGTAGAATTTACTTAATTTAATTTCACAACGTAAAAGTGTTTCAACACCAAATATAAGTAATGGTGAACCAGTATTTTCTGTTTCATCAACTGAACAAGCATCAAGTGCTGAAAGTCTTATTTCATCATCTCGTACAACAGATCATACAATTGATGTAAAAATTTCTTTTTTTTGTTCTTCGATGAAATTTTTGTTTTTTTGGAATAGCTTATGCAAGGATTTCGTGATCAAATAGCACGACAATATGATGCATTAGTTGCTCAAACACAACTTGAACCAACTATTGAAGAACCAACAACATCAGTTTGGCTTTCATCATCAACAGAAGATTTTTTAACACCAATTCGTTCAAATACATCAAATGCTAATAATTGGCTTGAACTTGGAGAATATAATGAAGAAACATTTCTTACATCAAAAGGTTAATAATAAAATAAAATTATTTTTTTTCTTTAAAGTTTAGAATTTGTTTTTTCATTTTCAGATGAAATAAAAGATAAACATGATAATACTTTATTGAATACATCGAATGATAATAATAATTGTGAAACACGTCTTTTTACTTCAGCTCAAACTACACCTATTACAACAACAACTCATTCACGACAATCAATTAGTAGTACAACTGAATCAGGTAATTTAAAACAATGAAATGCGCACATTAACAAACTTTCAAATTATTCTTGAAATAATGCGAAATATTCTAGTAGATGTTTCATAATAAAGAACAACAATTTTAGATATAAGAAGGAAAGCATTACTTGACACTATAAAAAAATCTTTAAAAATTTCAATATCTCGATATTTAAATACCCTTTGTTTTATAAAAATTCCCACAAAATTCTAAAAACCATGAGATTCTTTTATAAACAAAAATTTCTATAAAATCTCTTTTCATGAATCTAAAATTCATTAATACTTGATAATCATAGAACATTATTTTTTTTGTTCAATTTTTAGTTGAATCAATATGTGCTGTAACAGAAGAAAATAATAAAAAGAATGCAACTAGTGAATGTTCTGAACAACGTATCATATTGTATGTATTATTGTTATATTTAAATTTTCTTCAAAACAAAAACAAAAATCAATTTTGTAAAAATATTTTTCTAAAATTTAGATTAGAGAATGATATGAATGCAAGTGTACCAAATCTTTCTACAACAAATCCAAATAATATGACTTTATCAAATCTCTTAACAACAGCACAAAGTTCACCAAATTTAACAACAACAACATTAAATGTAGCAAATGTTGTTATAATTGATGATGAATCAATGCCAATTGAAGAATCACGAAGTTTATCTGAAATTCCATTATCTGATCAACAACAAAAACAAAATGATGAAACAAGTGATGATGAAGATATGGATGATGATGAACATTGTCAATTAAAACGTGCAAAATTAAATAATCAACAAATTCAACCACCAATGGATACTAATGGTAAACAAAAAAAAAACCAAAATAATTTTCAATATAATTTTATAATTGTTTTTATTTATTTATTTTTTGCTGTTTAGAAGATGATGAGGATGAAGATGACGACGAAGCAGATGAAGAAGAACCTGAACAAGACGAAGTAAGTCTTTATACTTTCAGATCGATTCAATTTTATTTCAAAAATAAAAATACATTTTTACAGAATTGTGGTCTATTTGATGAACAGGTGATTAATTTAGTTTAATGTACTTCTTAGGCTTCTTGCTAAATAACACAAAATAATAATATTTTTTCTCACATAGATTGTTTTTTTTTTCTTTTTTTTCTTTTATTTATTTTGAATTTTTATTTAATAGGAAGAAGAAGAATATGATGAACAATTACAAGAACAAATTCATGGTGAACAACAATCAGTTACACGTCGAAATTGGGATGACGATTTTGTTTTAAAAAGACAATTTTCTGGTATATATTTTCAAATAAAATAAAATTTTATTTATTATTTTTTTTTTGTCTTAGTTCTACTTCCAGCATTTGATGGACGACCAGGTAGAACAAATATTAATGCAACTCAAGATATTCCAGTACCAACAACAATGACACCAAAACAATGTAAAATTTTATTAGAAAATTTTTCTATTTAAAAATCTAATATATATATTTTTTTCTCGTAGCAACTCTATCTAAACAAATGTCAACTACAGATGTAATAGCTGCTTCTAATATGACTTTATATATTCGTGGACCATCACCACAAATACCAGGAGTTCGTATTTTGATTTGAATTTCTTTTTTTTTAATGCTTTATACGAGATTTCAGTGCTATTAGCATTAAGATCTATTTTGTTTTTCGAAAAAAAGTTTGGATACCACGTGAACTCAATAGAGGCAGCTTTTATAAGTTATAATATATATGAAATCATATCCCTACTTGTCAAAGAAGGCCTGCGAGTAATGGCAATAAGTTTTCTAGATGCAATATGTATAGATTCTACCTCAACTGAAATGCGCTCTGTGATATTCTTTCAGCTCTCACATTAATCTCACTATTTTATCCCTTCTGCACTCTCACTCTGACAATGTGTACTGTATTATCCCCTTCTTCTACTTTATAGAGAAAGTGAGAACATCGTTATATATATGTATATAATACGGTTAACAAAAATTATCTCTATTATATGTTTTTCTGTTTAATAGTTTTCTTTTTGAATGTTATTAGCATTGAATTCTGTGATGTTGTGATTTTTTGTTTTAGTTGAAAGAGATTGATATTGAAATGGATGATCCAGATGCAGCAATTTTTAAGTATGTTCAACAATTAATTAGACCATTTCCATCATCACAACGATCTGAACGTATTAAACGAATTTTTGAGCCAACATATACGTAAGTATTATTATAATGAAATAAATTATTCGTTTCAAATAATAAAATTTTTTTTTTCTTTGAATTTATTTTATAGTATTGTCTATACTGAAAAATCAAAATCAGACGTAAGTAATCAATTTTGTTTAATCTAATATACATATTTAAATGGAATAAATTCAAATAAAAAAATATGTATCTATTGCTTGACTATTTAAAAAGTTATTATTGGAATTCGAAAGTTTCGCATTTTTTTCACTACTGGCACATCATATAAATGAAGTCAAACCTTGACCTGATTGTGTAGAATTGATTTATCTATAAAATACTGAAATATATAGACAACTTCAATCAACTTTATGATAGAAAAATTCAAAAATTTCAGAATAGAATTCACTTATGAACTACGTCTATACTGAAATCCTCATCAAGATTTGATGTCAAATAATTACCTCCTAAAAATTCGTTTTATAGAGATTTCCTTATGTATCGGAACAAAACGTTTTAGTTTTTGCGATTTTTTCGAGATTTTTAAGGAAGGCTTGTATCATCTAGAATCGGTTTTTGGACTTCACACTCAGGTACAAAAATATTTTTCATTTCCATATGTGTGTAATGTCACGTTGCTAACGCTTATGGTTTTTAATTATAACTTATTCACACAAGTTTCTCGGACTGAGTTTTTTAGCATATCTAAAGCAATTCGTTAGAAAACCACAGAAGCTGATACCGGCAATTTTAGCTCATATTGAGCTTACAAGGATGTCATGGTGATACGAGCATTAGCCTAAAAGGAATTCGTATCAATGGGCCTTTGAAGCCAAGTTATGATCGTTTTATTGAATTTTCGATCCAGTTTTAAATATATATATCGGAAAATCAAAACAACAGTATTTCAACGTGAATTTTTTTTCATTAATAGTTCGAATGGTCAGTGAAATATCTCTAAAGTTTCAACCAAAAACAAAAATGTTCCTTCGTCAAGGTGTTGAATCTCCAAAAAACCTAGTCGCTTGCAACAGGCATGTTCCGAAAAAAACGAGTTGACTTGAAAATCCAATATCTCGATAAAGGAACGTTTCTTTCGGCTGGAACTTTCAGGATATTCTAAAAATCATTCAATCTATTTATGGGTTAAATTTTACGTCGAAATTCAGTTTTTTGATTTTATGGTATATACCTAAAGTGGATTTAAAAATTCATTAAAACGATTATAACTCGACTCCAGAAGTCTATCAGAACGAATTCTTTTTTAGATTTTTGCTAGTCTTACCAAGGCTTCCTTATAGGGACAATATGAGCTCAACTGGCGGGTAACAGTTCAGATGAATCCCTTGACAGCATACATTTAATATGTAAAAGAATTAACTATAAGGAAGTTACAGTCCCGAGATATACGCATTTTTATTTTGTACCGTCATATCACTAACAAATGGCATTACTTATATATTTTGTTTTTGACTCATGTCTAAATTAGAGGCGATCTATTCAATCTTGATACATATTTAAATTTATCTTTTTATTAGACATATCAATCTTTATCATCATGTTCAACTAATCTTGATATGATGTCAATAATAAATGAAAATATTCAACAATCATCTACTTCAAATATAATATCAAATGATCCAAAAGATGTTTGTACAATTGAAGATATTCTTGAATTACTTCGTCAATTATATTATTTATCAAATACATATATTCAAACAAATCCTCATTATTATCATCATTCTGATGAAAATTTTTCATTTGATAATTATTTTTATTCAAAAAAATTAAATAATAAATTATTACAACAAATACAAGATTCAATTGTAATAGCATCGTCAAGTTTACCTATATGGACAGAATGGTTAACACATTCATATAAATTTTTATATCCATTTGAAACACGTCAATTATATTTTCGTACAACGAGTTTTGGTACATCACGTTCAATTGTGTGGTTACAAGAACGTCGAGATGAATTAATACGTGCTGCACGTACTGGTGGTTTATTACGTCCATTAGGTGGTTCAACAACGACAACAACAACAACATTATCATCATTTCGTGTTGTATCAAATTCAAATGAAAATTCATCAACAACATCAAATTTATTTGTTCCTGAATTTCGTTTAGGTCGTTTAAAAATTGATCGTGCAACACCAATTGATCGTGAACGTATATTACGTGATGCTATGAATTTATTTCATTATCATGCTAAATCAAAAGCTAAATTAGAAATACAATTTTTAAATGAAGAAGGTACTGGTGACGGACCAACATTAGAATTTTATGCATTAATTGCAAATGAATTACAAAAACATTCACTTGGTTTATGGTGGCATCATGATGATTATGAACATAATCAAACAATTTATGTTAGAAAATTAGAAGGTCTTTTTCCTATTCCATATGCACAAAATGATGAAAAATTAGATATTATTTGTAATTATTTTTCATTAATTGGAATTTATTTTGCTAAATGTTTATTAGATAAATATTTAATTGATATGCCATTATCAATAGGATTTCTTAAACTTTTATGTATGAAATCAAAATATAAGAATGATTCAAATATATGGTATGATGGTATATTAGATTTAAATGATTTAATTGATATTGAACCATCACGTGGAAAATTTTTTCAACAACTTTATCAATTAATTGAAAAACGAAATAAAATATTGAATGATATTAATAAAACGAATGAAGAAAAAAAATTTTTATGTTCACAATTAAAAATAGAAAATGATCAACATGAATCAGTTGATCTTGAACATTTATGGTTTGTTGATTTTGTTCTTTTTTTTTCTTAATCTTTATTTCTATTTTTGTGAAACATAACCTAAAAAGAATGATGAAGTATAAAGAGAAAAAATTTAGACTTTCCACAGACTGTGACAGACGTTATTCAGACAGCAAGAGCAGCTACATCGTGTTTCACATTTTAATCCTGTAGAGATTATGCTAATAGCTCTTTGTTTCTTTTTTTTTAGTTTAACTTTCGTTTATTCACCACCATCAATTACTTATGGTTATCAATCAATTGAATTAATACCAAATGGATCACATATTGTAAAATATTAAGATTTATATAATCTATCGAAATAGCTTTGTTTTTTCGTTTTTGTTTTAGGATGTTACTATTGATAATGTTGATCAATATGTTAAATTATCTTTAGAATTTATTTTTCGTGATGGTATTCGACGTCAAATGGATGCTTTTCGAAGTAAGAAAATTTTCAATTATTTATTTATTTAATAAATATTTTAATTTTTCTTCGTAGATGGATTTAATCAAGTATTTTCAATTGAACATTTAAGATGTTTTAATCCACATGAATTAAAACTTCTTTTATGTGGAAATCAATGGCCATCATGGACATTAGATGATTTACTTAATTATATAGAACCTAGTCATGGTTTTACACGAGAAAGGTTTATTAAAAATAAATTCAAATTTTCTTCTTCTTGAAATTTTTAATTTGTTTCTTTTTCTTTTCCAGTGCTGGTTTTACAAAATTTCTTAATGTTATGTTAGAACTTGATGGTCTTGAAAGAAAATCTGTTGTTCAATTTATTACCGGCTGTTCATCATTACCACCTGGTGGTTTGTATTTTTAGCTTGAAAAATTCTTTACATAAGAATATTTTATTTAGGTCTTGCTAATCTTCGACCTCGTTTAGCTGTAGCACGTAAAGTTGAAGCCGATGATAATTCATATCCATCAGTCAATACATGTTATCATTATCTCAAATTACCGGATTATTCAAACCAAGAAATCCTTAAAGTTCGTCTCATGACAGCATGTAAAGAACGAGGATTTTATTTTAATTAACTAAGATCTTTATGTGTCATAGTTTATTTCTAATGAATTTTCGTTTTTTTTGTACATTTTTTCGTCATATCTTTTTTCCTGGTTTTTTTTCGTTCCCTTTAAATTAATCCTTTTTTCCTCCCCTACACTCATATAAAAAAATAAGAAATTATTGGACTTTTTCCAATATATTTGTGTGTGTAAATAAAAAAATACGAAAACAAATCAATCGTCCGAAAGGAAGTTTTAAAAGCTAATTTTCATATCATTATGAAATATAGATTGTTACACTGATAAACAATGACGGAAATGATAAAAGGCATCAGCATAGGCCGGCTGGTCCAGAAAAATTTTTCTCCCAGGTCGAACGTGCCTAAACTTCTGTTGGGTTGCCCGATCGATCTTTATTTGGTTTTTCAAGAACGATTTTCCACGTAAGATCACAGCAAAAAGTCTGATTTTTCGTCAAAATTGATTACATGGATTTTGCACTTAGCAACACTCAGAAATCTCTATTATGCAAAAGTTTTCAAAGTTTTATCTAGCTAATAAATCAAAGCAGAGCATTTATTTCACTTAACGACATTCTTTATCCATACACAAGGCTAAGTGCACTATCAATTACGTTAAATGAAACAGTGTTAAATGCATACTAACATTAACAGTGCAACTAACGACAGTAACCGATCTGATTCTTTGAAATCGACTAGCAGGCATTTAACTCATAACAGGTTATTTTAATAAATAATAATCTTCAAAAAGTTGGAACACTCGCAAGCACATCTTGGACTTCTGATTCAATAAGTAATTTGATACATCTCTCATGCATTAAACTTGTCCGACCTTATTCAACTTGTGATCACTATGATAATAAACTTTTCAGTACGTTCTGATACATGGCTGCAGTGATTTTGGAGTTCTGATTTTTAATAGTATCATTTTGAGCTGTGTGAAGCCGGGCTCTAATATAGTAGAAGTCGAGCCAAGCCATCAGAAATGGTCCGATTTCAAGACTCGATAAGAAATTGATTATGAGAATGGAATGTAAAATTTAGAAGATGTATACTACTGTTCTAACTTCCATAATTAATAAACAACAAGTCATTCGAATAATGGATTGACTGATATAAACTTAATACATAAATATAATGAAGCACTTTCCTTGTTCTTTTGGAATATTATTTCAGTAGTAGTTTTTTTTTGTTATGTAAACTATGTTTAATTAGGATTCGAATTTTTCGTGAATCAATTCACTCTACTATTGGATTTAACTCTAATTTCGACGTGAGCTCAAGGAAAACTAGCTGAATCCTACGAAATATATTATCTTTGCATACTTTTCTTTAGATCATCTAGTATGAGAAATGTAAATTACGTCGAGTTCTGATCTAGATATGCTAATCTTAAAGATTTTCTGTAATCTATCATTGCAATTTATCTATAACTGTACTCTATGAATGCAACTGGTCATCTGCAACACGTTGGTTAATCTAGTGGAAGATTAAAAAAAAAGAATATTTTAACAACACGTGAGACGAATCAAACGAAAGTCAAAATAAAGTATTGCATTGTACGAGTCTATTTAACTCTGTTCATCTCTAATAAACAAAAAGAAACATTCATTGACAGAAAATTCATATAAGATTTGATTCATTTGAGTTTTTATAAGATCTTGTTCTTGTATAAAAATCTGGTTCTAACTAAAGAAAAATGAATGAACTCTATATTGTAATTATTATTCTTATTATTAGTGGATCAGAAATTTTGCTCTTTTATATGAAATAATCATTTAATTCTTTTTTCTATAAAAGAATAATCTTAATTGTCGGACTAAGAATATCACATGCATTTTAATTGCTTGTCAGTTCTCTCCCTATGAGAATCTCTCGACATAATAGAACATTAAACAAATATGTAAGCAAAGTTATTCAATCAAATAAAAGTAGAGAAAGCATAGCAATATAAGAAACATAATTTGCGACAGCCGATAGTCATTTTTCATATGATCATATGAGAAAACACATCTGTCATCATCAATCAAGCAATATTCTCTCCATATTAGAAAACTTGATTGCATTCAATAATTGATGACATAGCCAACAGGTTCATTTTGTGCTCGGAATACATGCGGTATAATAATCTCCGAAGTTTAATGCTTTGAAACAAACAAAATAGAATGTACTCGATAGATTAATATTAAATTGTGTAGGTGTTGACAAATAAAACTAAGGCATAGAAGGAAATATTATTGATTTTATACGGTGTCATATTCGTTCAAGGTCGTTTTCATATGTCGAAATCTGTTACTATTCTTCTTCATGAATAACAGTAAATAAAAAGTGTCTGCTCGTTGTTGATAGCACTATTCGATCGGCTGTTCATAAACCAAATCAGTTACATTGTTCGCTATATCATAATGAATGACACATAAAGCAATTCACTAACATTGTTGTTCATTTACAAATGTGATTCCATAGGACCTAACTTTGTTTATTGTCTCAATAGAAACTATTGTTATTGATTCTGATACATAAATCCGACGCAAAATGGAACTATGATATGCATTCAAATTCATATTGAGTATAATAATAGATTGTTCTTGTAAATTAAATAAATCATAGTGATAATTACACGCATCAGATTGATTGTATAGAAGAGAAATTTTGTGAAAACTGAAGTGACTCAAAAATACTTTCAAAGAGAAAATTCTTGCAAAGGATAGTACAAAGAAGAAGTTTCTGATTCTATATCATCTTTACAATTGAAATCTTTAACGTAGATTCTTTCAACGCTTATCAATAGAATATAACCAACGAACATATGATACTTAACATATACTTTTATATTGAATTCCGTGATAGTTCAATCGTCTGTTTGTTTAATTATTTTCATATATATTGAGTTTTTGAGCCAAAAGATATATTCCATGGGTACTAAATAAAGTATATGAGCAATACATTACAATATCCGAATAAGATGAAAATGGAATCAGCGATGTTTGGCTACCACTAATTTCATATATAAACTATTTGGATAAAGAATTCTGTACATTTGTATGTCTTTAACTCAGTTGAATAGATACAATAGTTGAGATCTTCTGAATGGAAGATCTGAGAACGTTTTTAAAGCAAATTTATTATCTAGTTCGATTTGAAAATTTGCTACTGAAATAAAAACTAATGTGGTTCAGTAGACCAGTTGTTAGAGTTTAATTGGTTGTAAATTTTCTAGATAATTAACAAATTGATCAAGTGTTAAATGAAGTGGATCTTGGATATATAAAATATTTATATTTTACTTAGTTGATGTTTTTTGTCACCAAGATGCTATGCATCGATTGTGCACAAGTACATCGACAAGTGATGATGATGATGATGACATCGTGACACTTTCCTTATGTTCTTGTTGTTCCTGTCACTTTGACATTGAATCTTTTTCAAAAGAAAACCATATGTTGATTCTAGCAGTTATCAATTCAAAAATTAAAATGTCAATCTTGAATAATGTTTAAGATTATCACTATCAATCAATGTAAAAGAAAATAAAGTTCTTTATTTCCATAAAATTCTCGTTTCAACAAGATTAAAAACAAGCAAATAAATAACATCATTTGACTTTCGTTTAAAATGACATTGATTGAGTTGATTTTTCCTACGTTTCGAATGTAAGCAGAGTAAAATTCAAGACATCTAAAGAAATGAAAAAACTAAAAAAAAGAAAAGAGAACTAATACTCAAAAAAAAATGATCTCCGGTAAGTCTACTTTTATCTGTTGACATACTTTCTTTTCCATTAGAATTCATTTTCCTATGAATTTCTGATCGAAGTAAAAACTGTTTGTCTTTATGTTACGTTGCGAAAAGCAATTCATCTTAGCTATTCACATACGAACAATATTTTACGAAAAAGTTCAGATGTAGGAAGCTCAGGGTCTACATTTTTGTGAACCTGGGTCCGGTCGGATTCAGACCCGAGCTGTCTTTTCCACCAATATCTAGCACTCCCCTTTATACATGAACACATAAAGAGTCAAGATTTTAGCTATTTATTGGCTATTCTCAGAAAACAGTCACGAATGGTTAGTTTTTGTTGTTCACTTTTTCATCACTCAATGTTCAATAACTTAAAAGTTTTTGTTTAGTTGAAAACAGCATTGTATTAAGTACCTCGTCGCCCTTCAAAAATCGATCTTGAGTCCGGTGTATTCAAATTGCATGAAATTTTCAGGATATGTTGGGACGGTAGTGGAGAGGCTATGAAAAAACTTTCAGTCATATACCATTATGTTTTCGGAAGATATTCAATAGGTAAGGATCAAAGATAACTCATTTGATAACTGCCAATTTTCTTTCAACCCTCATTTTATATACTTAGTTGTTTTTTTCGTTTCACAGAGTATGTCAGGATACAAGGTATGATAGAGCCTGCTTCTTTTAACTTCTTACTTTTATGGGAAGACAAGGAATGAAAATTTCCATGTCTGAAAAAGTTCTCAAACAATGACGTTCTAAATATAAAGGTACTCTTTTATATAAGTGCAGCAAGACTTAAATCAAAAAAGAGATTCTGTTATGCCATGCATCTTGACATGCTCTTTCAAACAAGAAAAGACGATTGACTACAATGGAGCTCCTTCGACAAATCTACGATACACGATCAAAAACGTAAAAAGATTTCCTGTCTTTTCTGAAAACAACATATTTTTTAAGTAGATGACAATAGAAATCATCGAAAATTTTTGAAAAAAATGAAGTACCAGATAAAAAAATCATGTCATGTATGAATGATCAAATCTGGGGATATCTTCCCATGCATTTATTTTAATTTCGGTACTTCTGACGAAAACTGACTTTTTCTTTGAGAGAGGTGAAGCTTAACAAAAAAAAAAGAAAATTGAACAGTTAGTTGATAAACAAAATTTGTCATTGAAAATCGACAAATCCACAATACCACGAAAGTCTTCATCTGTATAAAATAGATATAGTTGTATTTATGTAAATGAGATCAAATAAGAGTATGTT